GTGTGTGTGTGTGTGTGTGTGTGTGTGTGTGAGTGTGTGATATCAGGTTGTCACTTTCTTCAGCTTTGATCTCCAAAATAAAAACAGAGACAGAATCGTCGTCGGAGTTAAATTTATCTCTTCAGATCGTCTCAGTTTATTCTCATGAAATGGTGACGAGTTGATCCCGAGAAACTCAGACCAGGTCCCTGAGAAACCACCACAGGTCCCTGAGAAACCACCACAGGTCCCTGAGAAACCACCACAGGTCCACGTGTATTCAGAAGACATCAAGAGAAAATGAATCAGTTTCATGATGTCATCATATTTCAGCGTGTTGAACTGAAGGTCAAACATCTCTTTGAATGAAATAAATCAGTTTTAACGTGAAAAGAAAATAAAAAGTCTAAAATACAGACGGAATAATGTGCAGATGTTCACAGTGTGAAGAACATCAATAAATAAATCAAATATAGATCAATAATAACCCAACAATCAGATTTGACATCAGACGTCTGCTGTTTCCCCTCGTGGCTGTAGAGTCTTTCATGAACCGGAGGTATGGAAGCCCAAAGCGGACTTTATCAGAACGATGTAAACATGACAATGTGACACAATCTCTCTGTTTCTACATCGATGTTTGTTATTTGAGTGCAAATGAAAATGATGAATTATCTAAACTTCATTCTCACATTCTTTGTGACAATATTAAAATCAAAATCGAAAACACATTTGATTTCGTAATCCGCTGAACGATATTCACATTAATAATTAAATGCATTAAAGCGATGTGACCTTCTGTAGAAGCATTATTTAAGTCTCAATAACAATTAAAATGCATGTTTAAGAGACTCAACCTGCTGTTCAGTCCACATTATTCAACTGCGCCTCCAACAGTAAGATCAACCGTCAACAATATGCAGACGACGTCCTGGTTTACCTCCGAGACGCTGAAACACCTTCAGCCAAAGTAACCGATTAACAACTCCAGTGATCGTCTGATCGTCTGTGGCCCGAAGAATGAAGGCAGACGAGAATCAACACTGTTTAACATCACTCACTGAAGAGTTCATTTCATCTTTGAACTTTAATAACGTCACCAGAAGGTGAAACCCTGTGTCGTCTTTCCGTTGTCCCGGTAACACCAGGGACCTAAATCTTGTGTCCTCGTTGTCCTTGTTGTCCTCGTTGTCTTCATTGTCCTCATTGTCTTTGTTGTCCTC